TCCACATATGTAGCATGTGGCATCTGAGCATCTCACTTCTTCAGTTTGTTTGCTGGCAAATTTGGATGTCTAAAATCTTAGCAGGTGCTGTGCAAGCACAGGCATCCCCTGAGGGTTGTTCCTCTCATCCGAATTTTGGGTGTCCGACTTGGACCACGCAGATGGTCCTTTAGAGATGCTTTCTCTTGGTTAGCTGCAAATGATTGACTAGGTGAGGCAAATCCCTCCTGAGGTGGGTAGGATTGGTGGGCATCGTTTCTTGTAGTGCTGTTTCATGGGGATTTGCTGTGCTGGAAAACCCGGAGGTGAAGTCAACAATGGAGTCAGGACCTGGTCCAGTATCACCTGTGTCCTACCTAGGCTTTTGCTCCATCTGCTCGGGCCTAGGTGCTCCCATTTTACCTGGTCATTTGGCCAGGTGGGGGACCTTAGCGGCAACAAAAAAAAATGATGTGTTCTGGAAGTAGGACGGAAGAGGAGACAACTGGAGTGACCGTCTCAGCTCCAGGGTTGCGTTGAGGCAGGGCAGGTCTCAGCACAGTCTTGTCCTGCTTCCTGAGAGCCTCAGCACCCATTGCTGCTGTTTCCTAATTGTTCAGACAGGTGGATCTGGTCTCATTTTTTCAAAATGGTTTCCTGGATCTCTTTGCAGTGGCTTTTTCACTCATGGTCCTGCAAAAGGCTTGAAGATGGTAAAGGCTACATGAAATGGCACATGGTAGCGCCTGGCTTTGAGGGGACTGGGTGAAATCAGCAGATGCATTCACTGGGAGAGTCTTCTAGGGCCACCCCATGTTCAGCTTCCCTCCAACTTGGCTGGAAAAAGAAATGTGGATTCCTTATATCCCAACATACCTAGGATCAAGCTCTGGAAATGCAGTGAGCCCTGGAGCTGCCCATGGATCCACCCTGCACGTCCACCAAGGACATGGAGTCATGCTGGCAGCCCTTACTGCAGCACTGCTGTACTCATCAGGTGGCTCCTTACTGAGAGATGGGACCATCTCATGTCAACGAATGTTAGTGAATATTGGAGGCAGGGGCCAGATCTTTGGGGAAGCAGTGGGATTTGCGCTTCACCATTCAGGACTCAGCGGTACATTGGCACCACTGATGCACTATCCAGGCAGGAGGTTTCAAGGATGTAAGATCTTTTTTGCATCTTCTGTTCCAGTAGCCTGACTTTTTTCCATCAATCCCAATTAACCAAGCATGTGTTGGAGGGAGAACCTAAGTTTTTCGGGACTGTCTCTAAGGGAGAGCCGCAGGGTGCTGAATTTGTGTGGGGGGGACTTCTCCCTACAGGGGCTTACTCCAAAGGGAGGAAAAACAGGGTGGAGTACGCAGGAGATGAGAAATGTAAAATGGTGCGAGGAAGCCAATGCCGGCACGTCTACAAAGAGCCAACGTTGATAGAGATGACAAGGCAGCGTGTTTGAGATAATGGTGTGGCTGAGACTGACAGCCGTGGGAAGAAGAAAATAAAAGAGATTTTTTTTTTTTCCGTATTGGCTGGCTTTTTCTGCCTGTGAATTAAGAGTCTGGATCTGAATTAAATACCAGGGGAATGGGAGCTGCGTGGTGGAAGAATCGGATCGGTTTGAACCACCACTGTGCAGAAACAATGAACAAGGGATCTGAAACCAGGGAATTTCCCCCCTCCCTGCTCTTCCAAATGCACTTCATAATGTTTTTTTTGTGTTCCTGCCTAGCGTAGTGTCACCTTGAGCCTCTTTTGCTGTTGTTTCCCATCCCCTGGTTTACAGGCTGGTGATGTGGCTTGTGGTCCTTAATTTGGTTTCCAGTGGACACAGGTTTCTTCAGACTGACAGATAAATCAGAGTGCAGCGGTGTGTGCTTCTTGTTTAATGTTGATGATTGCAGGCCAGTCAGCATGCTACTGTTAACAGTATGGCTGGGGACTCTGTTTGAAGTGTTAATTAGCAGCAATTAATAAGAAGTGAAAAATTAATACCCTATGTCAGCTTTCTTTGCTAGTTAGTTACATCAACACCAAGGCTCAGAGCTATCTTGAAGCTTGTGTTTGCATAAGAGTTTGGTCTTCTTGTCACATAGTATTGGGAAAAGATGCTCTCCTACCATAAACGGTGAATTAGTTATTCCCAAAATAAGAAGATAAGCTGTAGCCTCTGACAGATCCAGTTTTCTTGGGATGTGGATGCTCTCGACGTGACATTTCAAAACCAGTAAGTTGTCCATAGCTTAAGCAAAAAAAAAAGTTAAAATAGAGTTAAACAAACAAAAATGTTGATGACGTTGCTGAATCTGGCTAAGAGATTCTGCATTGCCCCCTTTTAATCGAAGTGGGCTCAAGCCCAGCCCCAGACGTGGCCGCCAAGGGTGGATCCCAGCCATGTTGCAGACACCTCGGACAGGTTCCTGCTGGTTTCCCCATCCATTTTCCATTTCTGATGGGAAATTCCCTGACCCAGGGGAACAGGCCTTTTCATGGGTCTGGTGGCAGATTTGGGCCTTGACTGCGTAAGAAGCAGCAAATACTGTCATCGTCTGATTGGACACCTTCAGCTTTTTATCAGCTCATAACTTTGTCTTATCAGCATCATAGGAGCGTCACAAGATTTAACTATGCTACCAAGTAGCTTATCTTTCTTCTTGGTATTTGTATTGTTACCCCTGAGTTCTGTTTGAGGTGATTGATTTGTTGTGTTTAAATTGATGTCTCTGTTTCTCTCCGTTCTTTGAAATTTTTTTAATAGACCAAGATTACCTTCCATCATTGTCTGGTCCTAGGCAAAAATGAAAACAGCTGAATCTACCCAAGGTTTAGCTTCTGCTGACACCTCCCCTCCTCTCACATTTAACAAGCTTGATGTAAAATCCTGATACTTAACCAATTTATTATTAATGATATTTACAGAAGTATTCTCTACCAAAGGAGGAGTGTTTTTTGACTTTCAGTAGACTGATTGCTTCTAGATTCATAGTTAATTGAAACTTAATATACACTGGGGATGAGTGATATATATGTTCTGAGGTTAGCTGCACTCCAAATACTCATAGTATATAACACACTTCATTCATTAGCAAGTCTCATGTCAACAAAGAATAAAGATGAAGTGCTACAGTGGCCATCGCAGTGGGAAAGTGATCATTATTATTTATGGAGTGCTCAAAGTATACTAAGCACTTTGTAAAGAGACCAACAAGCATATTGCTCTGAATTGGTTTACAGTCTCCTTTTTTAAAAATATTTGTTTCCTTTCATTAGCACGTTCCTTTGGGGTGGGGAGCACAAATTGCTGATGGGGGTCTAACTTTGGCCAAACAACCTTCAGTTGGGGGTTGTTTCATCTGCCTTGGTAATTTGCTTTTACCAGTGATGCTTTGTGAAACAGCCATGGTTTTATCATAGGTATGGTTTTATCATAGATTTTATCATGGATATCACACTTGCACTCAACATGCTCCTCATCTTTTTCAGTTCCTCCTGAACTCACACATGTCCATTTCTTCCTTGCAGTTTTCATTGGAACAGCCTTAAAAACTGGGAATGAAAAACCTACGACAGAACACTCTCCCTCTTTTAATTTTATAACCACCATATCTGGTCTTCCTGAATATGCCTCCTGAGTAGTAAAAGTTGAAAAAATCCTATAAAATCCTATAATATTTTTACAATCTTATTACCTCCTGCTTTGCCTGGCCTCTGGCAGTAAACTTTTTTCCTACTTTTAGTCACGCTTCTTGCAGAGCATTTGGAGTCGGTGCTGCCAGCACAGTTCTCTCTGTCATGCAGGTTTTGGAGGCATCCACTAATAAGCAGGACCAGTCCTCCACATCATATATTCTGGACACAGACTTTAAAAACTATCTGGCTTTGCTTTAGCATATCTTGTGTGAATAGCTGGTTCCCTCTGTGCCCATAACCTGAGCTCTTGGTTTCTCTTTTTCAGTCCTCCTTCGACACCTCGTAATTCATCACCATCTCAGAGAGTTTTACTGAAAAGCTCACTTTAGAGTTCTTTTTCATCTACTCCTAAAGGTGTATCTCTGGGTATTGCTTGTCTGGTGGCTCACTGTAGCTAGAAATATAGTCGGAGTTCTTTTTAATCTACTCCTAAAGGTGTTTCTCTGGGTATTGCTTGTTTGGTGGCTCACTGTAGCTAGAAATATAGTCCTCATTTAGTTCTGGTGTCTGACTCAAGATCTAGTCAGTCTGTATTCCCTCTCTCATATCATTTTTCATCTCTGCGTGTTTTTATTCCACTTTGTGTTTACTATGGTCATTCCTTCTAGAAGAATCTCCTCTGCCAACGTAACCCAATCTACACCTGAGTTAATAGTATACTGCATGGTACTAACTGGTGCCTGACCTTAGGTCAGTCTTCATTCAAAAACCAGTTGCAGCCAGCATTATTTCATTAGGGTATCTGCATTTTGCATGCTGAACTTTATTTTCTAGAGTTATTCCAATCTCTCCCAAGAATTTCCCTTTCAGTGTTTCCTCTGTTTTGATATCACAAATCTCCCCCTTTGGAAGTTGGAATATTTATGGAGTCAGATATATCTCGCACAGTGTTAGCCATCAAAAAGCGGGACGTCAAAGGCTGGACTTGTGGGGGGATGGTTGAATTGGTCTTTCCTGTCTTTTTTTTTTTTGGCATGGGTTGTGTCACCTTATGGGCTGGTCCTTCCCTCTCTCTTGTGGTGCAGGAAGCTGGACTGAACTTTGAGATGTGAATCCTGTGGATGCTGTTTATTACCTCATTATCTTCTCTGTTGTTATTGTTGTTACGATATTATTGCCACTGAGGTCCTTCGTTGTGATTCCTCATCCAACTCTAGCTTTACCTTGGAGGAGAAAGCAGGATCGAAGAGTTACAATCAACATGGAATAACTTGAAAACCATTAGGAAAGGCGAATAACTTGGAAACCATTAGGAAAGGCTGAGGGAATGGGTTGGTGTAGGTAGAACAAATCACTCTTTTTTTTTTTTTTTTGTTTTTTTCTTCCTTCCCTTTTAGTTTGTCCTCTAGGCGCTCCCTGCTGCAGGATGAATTAGGAACGCAAGACCTCTTCCTCTGAACCATGGAGACAAGGGCGTCTTTCATCGCCACCATGCAAGAGACCCAGCATCTCTCCCCAGAGAAGGGTCAGAGCCCGGCCAACGGCAACAGGGAGGAGTTTGATTCAGGTGAGCTCTCCTTCACCCCCACGGGTTGTCTTCACTGTTATAGCCCCCTAACAGATCAGCAGTAGAGGTGGGGTCAGCCATGTTGCCAGGGGAGCATTGGGAATGGTTGTACAGCTTGAAGGCCTTTTTTGAGTCTTATGGATTGGACTGTGTCCCATGGTTGATGGCTTGGGAAATTTGAGCTTTTCTTCTTCTGGATCTCTTCTACAGTACGTAGCAGCTATTCAAAATTTAAACAAAAAGCAGTGGAAAACCTTTCCCACGACATCATACTATGTTCTTCCAGTTTCCCCACCCTTTTTTATTTTGTTGAAGTTTTGTGGTTAAAGAGAGGAAATGAACATTCAGAAATTACACCATTTTTCCTTTGTTTTAACCTTCACCCTCATTTCCTTCAAAATTGTTTTGAGTGCCTCAGGCGAGACGGCTTCACAAACATTAGGCCAGCCAACGGAGCGCATGTTGTCCTTGTGCTCATGGGTATGACTGGATGCTCTGTAATGCTCTGGGATGGGCATCTAAGGGGGAGGATTCACTACGCTAAATTTGGGCATCATCATGGTAGGTACAGAAGAATAAGCACTAGCTTCTGTTGATTTCTGCTGGAATTAGGTGCTTTAACTTCCCATATCTAGCCTTAACAGGAGGAGACTGTATCTTATGGTGAAGTTGCACATTATGGCTAGACCCGATCTACTTTCTTTCTGATGCCAAAATGGGAGACCCCTCTTTATACCATCTCTTCCCTTGCCCCACCTCTGCTGCCTGGGCTGAGTCAATCAACTCGCTAACCCAGCAGAAAGGTAATCCAGAAAAAAAAAAAAGTGAATAATTTTCTGCCAGCTTTGTGAGTTGAATTGGCTGGAGGAAGAGGGAGGGCCACAGCACATGCTGCTGGAATGGGACCTCTCCCAGTGGCACTGAATTGTTGATTTGGCTCACCTATAACTTGTAACTTCATCCTTGCTCTGTGTTTGTATGGGAGAGCTGAACTGATGAACTTGTGGAGAACAACACTGAGCTATCAGTCAGTTAATCTGTACAAAAGGGTTCGTTTTTGCATTGTGGTACTTGTGTTGGTGCTCATATGCTTGAATGCTTTTCCAGAACTCGCTTGCATTTCTGCAAGAGCTATTCTTGACAAAAGGATCCTGAGATGTAAATGGCAGATGAAAGTCTGTGCTTGCAGGTGGGTCTCCTAAAGGGCTGCCTAAAGTCTACTTCCATGGAAATAGGTGCCCTCACCAGTGATGAATCACTGATTCAACACTACTGGAATGCAGCTGTAGCAGTGTTGGGGTGACTACTTAAAAACTCTGCATACTTTGCCTTCGGTGCCTTTTGCATCTTTTTTCTCCGGTGGTGCTGTTTGTGCTTTATTGGTCAGTGCTGTGCTGAAGTCCTTGGCAAAGCTGTGTCTTTGGTCCACTTTTCACTGTTTCTCCCTCAGTACCTCAGAAATTTGACCACCCAGCCTTTCGTTTCTTCACTTCTCATAGTGACTCCATGATTTTCCTGTTTCCCTGGACACCACCCATTCGAAAGCTGTAACCGGCCTTTGAATCTTTGCCACGTTCACTGATGAGTTGGGGGGGGGAAGACTCACAACAATGTAAGACCATGCTAGTTAAACTACGAGCTGTGGTCCCTGAGGTGACTTCGTATGCTTTTTAGGGTGAGGATGGGCTGTTTTGCACAGCCCTTTGTGCAATGCAACTATCTTCTATAACTTTTGCCGTGAAAATAAACAAGGGTGGCACATTTGGCCTGCAGGTTGCCCTGCTAAGAGTGGGCAGCTCTTAGCAAGCAACTGCGTTATGCTTGTGCAATTGAGATGGAAGTGCAGGTGGGCTTTCAAGAGGTCAACAGGGGTAGGGAAAAATGAGAGGGACGTCCTATAAAAATGCAAACTGGCTGTGTTGCATTGAAAACATGTTTGAGATGTGGGGTAGTCCAGTTGGTCTTGCCGTGATCCTTATAGGTTCAACTGGGCTCTTAAGCTCTGCATGTTAGGTGGGACACAGAGGTGGAAACTTTCCTGTGCTGAGGGGTTGTTTGACCAGCCAAAATTTTGGGTTTTTTTCCATGGTATATGCAGTGGTTCTGGTTGTTTCAGATGGCATCAAAAGGAAATTGGACATGCTTATGGAAGAAAGATGCAGCGTACTAACTGCTTCGAAACCATGTTTGTCTCAAGGAACCCCCTGAACCAGAAATAGTTGCATGATAGGAACTTACCTGGGGGGAAGTGTTGCACATGGTTGCCCTCATCTAATGGATGTCTCTAGACATCCAGGAGGAGGCAAAGCGTACAGAAAAAGTGCACTGTCTCTGTGAAGGGGAGGATGCGTAGGTATGATGAGAAACCTGGATTCATTCCACCTGAAGGAAGCAGGACACTCTTATGTTACCTTAGGTATTGTCCTGGGTTCTCCCATAGACATGAAAGAGAAAGAGCCTCTCTTCTATAGTGTGACTCATGGAGATGGCTACTGAGGGTCCTCTAAACATCTGAATCTGGAGCTCAGGTATCTTAAAACACCTTACAAAACCTTGTCATCTGATGCTGCCCGTATCACCAATGAAGAGAAAAATACAGCTCCAGAAAGCAAGTCATCCCATTTAAACACAGGTGCTGGGTTGCCTTTGGGTTGAGTTGCCATCTGGAGCTGCCTGTTCTCCCCGCTGAGGATGAAGAAAGCTGGAGTAGAGGGGATCATCTCAATCCTTGTTGCTCACGTGATGCAGACCCCTCTCGCGAGGTGGGATTCATGTCCTCTAATTCAGACATTTCGAGAGTGGACACCTGCAGCCTGATCTGGTCACCCCTGGATCCATTTATATCTACGGGAGAGAGGTAGGAGCCTCTAGAATGAGATTTAGTTGGCCAACCATAGGCATTGGTTTTGGAATGAGAAGAACTGGCCTGTGGTGCCTAAATTTCTTTGGGGATATGGATCTTGGTGACTCTCCCGAGGCCATGCTGGAGGTTTGTGGTTGATCAGGTCCCCCCCGCACCTTGCTTGGTGTGTTAACTGCTAAAGCGTTTCAGTTCCCTATTCACTCAAAAAGTCGTGAATGTATCTACGTGCTATAAATAAGATGGCTAAGCAATTTGCCACAAATACATTCTTCTTCAGTGAAACCTGGGAAAAATCTGTGTTTCTGGAACCACAGGTTTAGGGTCTCTTATCCCCTTTATTTCCCATAGCTGAACATCCCGGGAGGCTGTTAACAACTGGAACAGTTGCATTTTTATAGTGTCGATGCACGAGCACTTTAAAGCCATTGAGAGGCTCACATATAATGACTTGTCGATTTTGTGTGCCATCCTGGGCTTCTTTATACATCACCGTATTGTAGACTAGCCAGCCTTGACTCTTCCATTAAGAAAGAGCACTGGGCCTAAATACCAATAGTTGGAAAGGGAACTGATATGTAAAACAGGCCTAATGCCAAATCTGTCGTCTCGCAGGGCGCTCTGTGCAATGCTGGCACCTGGGGTTTTGCAGCTCTCCAGAAGAGCTGGGACTTTGTTCTTGAAGAGCATGACTTGAGGAGCGACGAACAGATCGGCTTTGTCATAACCGCTTCTCGAGTGGGCACAGTCTTCGTTGTCGTATGTTAAGAGACACTTTGTATTTCTCTACCTGCATTTTAATCAGGGGATCTCCAGGCAATTGAGAGAGATGGGCAAGAGGTGTCCTCTTCTCCTCAGCAGTAGGGCTTTTCTGATGGATGAGGACATTTGTGTTCAGCCCCGTTACCTGCACGGATGGGGTTGGGTCCCTTGGGCTGGTCTCATCCCTGGGCCACGCTATCTCTGCTCTGGCTGCCCCCCTGCCAGATTTCTAGAAGGGAACAAAGTCCATCAAAAAACATTTTGGAAGCTTACAGTCCCTTCAAAATCCTTTGTGATAAAACAAAGCAAAATAAAACACTGATACTGTGATAAATGAGTACTCTGACATTATTTTTACAGAGCTTGTAAAAGTAATTTCCTGATAAAGGCTGCAGATAAAACACAGATAGAGGAGTCAGACTCGTGATGTGTCAGAGAGAAATGAATTGACGGGGAGGGAAGGCTGCAGCTCTCACGCTGCCTCCCCCTGGGGTCTTAAAGCCTCTCTCTTTGGGTCTAAAAGGAGTGATCTGGTGATATTTTTTAAACAGGTGCTGTTGTGAGTTTTGCTGGACTGCATGTGAATGAACCTGCTAGTGGGGCTGTGGGAACAATGGGGCCAGTGGTTGGCACGTGGCGGAGTAGGTCACGGGTAATGAGATTATGGAGTACAGGAGGACTTGTTGCATCCATAACTAGCATCTGTAATGCTAACGTAATTAACGTGCTGTTGGCAAATTCTGGAGGAGATTTTGTCACCCTGGAGACATTGCTCCCTGCAAGGGTTGGAGGTTTTATACTGAACTGCCTAAAAATCCCTGCTTCCACTGCTCTGTGGAGTGACTCCTTCCCATGAGACTACCAAGGAAGGCTGGAGAAAAGGAGATACTTGTCTGAACTCACTCAGCAGGTTAGAACAAAAAGCAGTAATAAAAACTGAGAATATACAAAAAGCATTGTGGGCTGAGGGACATGCCTCGTGCTCTGAAGTAGAAGTATCTGAGCAGAAGGGAAGAGAGCCCAAGGCTGACCTGGAAATGTCCTGTCCATGTCAGATGTCCTGAGGTGAAGATGTCCTTGGGGTTGTTGAGCATTTCATCCCAACACCACAAGCGCACTTGGATGCAGAAGTGGGGAACAACCAAGCAGAGGGGAGGCACTTCTAGCTTTTCGCCTTTTGCTTTTCACATCAGATGTTGCTGACTTTCAGTGGGACGGGGATTGGTTGTGCTTAGGGTAGAAAGTTGCTTAAGCATCGGAGTAATTTTAAGCCTGGGATGGATAACTCTATCTGCCCATCTACTCGTGGACTAATAGACTTTATTTTAGAGGCTCAGCCTTTGAAATCTCTGGACCTGGCTCTTCTCTAAAACCTTAACTCCACGGGGTTGCAGACATTAAGGCTGAAAAGTTTCCCTGATCATCTGAGTTGCCTGCCTGCATGATACAGATGAAGGAAACTATTAGCAATTTTTGCACCAAGCTCCTACCTTGTGGTTAAGCTGTGGCTTATCTTTCAGTCAAGAATGAACAAACCCCTCATTTGGGTCAAATATCTCAAACAGTTAGAGTCAGCTTCTATGCCTGGAGGTTTTTGCAATGATTGCAAGAAACGAAACAAGGCCCATCCCTTATTCTACATTGAATTTCTCTATTTTCAGGTTGTAATCGTGGAGTTGGGTTATTTCTTGTCTTGCTGAGTTGAAAAGTCATTTGATAGCCACGTTATCATGGGAGTAAATGTTGATTTACATTTTAAATGTTGATTTACATCTTAAATGTTGATTTACATCTACATATTTAAACAGGTTAATTGAGTTTAAGGTAAGGAGTCAGACCTTAGTCTTGATGCAGCAGCGTGCAAAGTGTTAAACAGCGATGACAGCTCAGCGCTCCTCTTTGAACTCGCAGACAGATCTTTACCCTCCACCAGCTCTGTCTCAAAAACCCTCTTCTGATCTGCTTTTTTCTCCTCGCCTATGTATGTCTGGCTCCGTAGGCAGCAAATAAAACCTATGTCTTCCCCTTTTAATAATGAGAGATTCCCATTGCACAACATAATCTTCTGGTCCTGAAAACTGGAGACCTGTTGCAATAATTGCAATAAATTAACTCTGCCGTTTTCTTCATAAAACTGTCTGGGGAGGTTTCTTAATTCAGTTTGTCATGAGTCACTTTAATTACATCATGACCACGCTGATGAATGTTTGGGCAGGTAAGGGTCTTGCAGAGTTTGCCTGATAAATGCTTATTGCAAAGAGCTCATTGCTAGACTGTAAATATTTTTTCTCTGGGGATGAAACCGGGTTTGCGAGATTGCTTGGGAACAAAATGAAAACAATCAGATTTGGCTGATTTTCTGTAAGTGAAAGAAGATTTATTTTTAATTATTGCTGTGTGTGTTTCAGCGATGGTTTGAGGCCTCAGCTTTGCTCTATTCAGCGTGGTTATTAAAAAAAAAAAAAAAAGAGTAGTAATGTCAAGTCCCTCACCGTGGGGAAGGAAAATGTGGGGCAATGGTGCGGATGGCAGAGGCATGATGCAGCACCCCAAATCTGACATGGGGCGAGGACAGGTGAAGGGAGCAAGAAGGCAATAGCCCTCTGGTGAGGGGGGATTTGGAGGAAAACAGCTGTAGTCTTGGGAGGCGTGGGCGCCTCGGATGGGATGTCTGGGTGGAGGGATGCTGAGGAAGGACAGAAAGGATGGCAGGACTGAACCTGGGGCTCCCCAACCCCAAGGGTTGGCGTATTTACGCTACACACTGCTCAGCCAACAGAAGCAACTTCTAATATTGTCATCACCAGGGCACTGCTGGAATTACCAGTGCTGGGTGACCCAATTCTGGGGCACGAGCAAGGCCATTGCACCCTTGTGGTAGCGGACAGGCAGGCACCTCCCTTGCAGCAGGGGAGTCATCAAATACAAAATAAAAGAGCACAACTGCCTGTTGCAGTATGTTGGGTTTGTTCCCCCACCGCCGTGAAAGCAGAGTCATTTCTGGTTTCAAAGTGTTGGCTGCTGAAGTCCCAAAGTCTGCTGCAAGATTAGTAAGAGTCGGTCAAACTAGATAAGCACAGATCTTTAAAACAAGCTTTCTGTTTCCCCTTGTGTTGATGTTTATACTGGTTGCTATTCTCACCCCGAACTCTTTGACACAACTTTTGCCTTCTTTGGCTGTGTTTTAGGCTGCTTTTCTTTCTGTTTTTGTTTTTTTTTGGTTTTTTTTTTTTGGTTTTGAACAGATGAGGGTTCCAGCATTGAGGACGCAGACTTCAACTGGGACGAGTTCCTGGAGGAAACAGGAGCCAGCGCTGCTCCCCACACCTCCTTCAAACACGTACGTGCTTCGTCTGAGCTTTGCTGGTGGTGCGTGTGTTCCCTTTTCTGGTTTTCAGGGGTCCCTGGAGAACTGAACTGGGGTCTGACCATTTTGGGGAGAAATCGTCCCTCTGTGCATGCAGCAGCCTGCGTAGGAATGGCCCCCCAGCTGTTGTTAGGTGAACTTGGTGTGTTTTTCCTTCTCCTTATTTATTCATTGCTGTCCATCCCAACCCATAGAGATTCATCTCACAAGAGTGCCTTATTTCTCCAAAGCTGTCTTCTGAATGCATGCTTTACTGACTAGCAGGGTCACGCAGCCCTACCGCCCAGCATGGCCCACAGGAAGCCATCTCTCCAGCCTCCTGCCTGGAGATGCTGTCTCAGAAGTACGAGAACCAAGTACTTGGGTGGGTGATGCTTTTCTGGATGAACATGGCTCATATAGACAGCCATGGCAGTTACATGGTCTCATATAGATAGCCATGGTCTGTGGCTCTGGTCCATGTTAGCGCAATTAGCATTTGAAGTCTCTGGTATCTTGACTGATGAAGAAGATCAGAGCATGCTTTGAAAAAAGGACTCCGTCTCCAAGCAGAGCCCATCACAGTTAAGGATATTGTTGTCTGGGACCAGCTTCTCCATCCACCACCAGTTGTTTAATCTCTTCTATTCAGCTCCACCTGTGTGATGTCACGTGAGGACACAGGACAGAAATTAAGCTGATGTAGTTCTTCTTCATCACAGTCAAGGGCGTGCACGTGTGGCCACATCGGTAGATTTTTTCCAGAACATCTTTGTCATTCAACCGCAAGACTGTGCTGTCAGAGATGTTGGGACCTAGTGGGAAGGTGGTGTGATGCCTTAATCTGAGTCAAGCCATGAGAAGTCATGGTGGTTCTCTGTCCTCAGCTGCAAGTTCCCTGAGGATGGTGCTGCTCATCCTCCTACCTGACCCATCAGAACTGTAGCCCGTTCTGATACAGTTGCTCAGTGGTCACCTCCTCTTCTCCCAGCTTCACTTGGCTGGTCTGCCTGCTCTGAGGATGTGGATATCTTCAGCGTGAAGAGAGGGGTTTTAGCTGTGATGCTCTGGGCTGCTTTACACTGAGTCAGGTGGCAGAGATGTCCTTTGGGAACAGTGTAGTTGTACTGCAGTGAGAAAGCTTCCTGAAGAACCCGTTTCTACTTTAAGAGAAGTCTCTGTTTGGATGACTGTATTCATGCCATTAAACCATTTTCTTCTCCAGGTGGTTTCTTGGCTTGTTTTGAAGGGGTAAGTGAGATGCAGTGATGAAAAGCCTTTCTTCCATCTGCATCTGAAAAAAAAAAATACAATCCTCCACCCCCCTCTTCTGCTTCAATTTTAACAACAGTAGAGTATTGCAGGACGAAGGACCATAATTCTCTATACTGGAGAATTACAGGGCAATGCCAAAGTTTTATTGTAGAGTTTCTCCTTGGTCCAGTAGCTGTCTAGAGAGAGCATTTTGTTCCAGGGTTCGGCTCTGGGCCCTGACCCAAATACCAGATCCAGATGAAAGTTTTGTGCTTCATGAAGCTCTTAAGGATGTCTTCAGGTGTGTGGAGATGCACACCTCATCCTCCTGATCCTGCTGATTGTGGTGTCTCAACTGTCGATGAGGCGAGTTAGTGCTGGGAGCAGTCCTTAGCGACTCTGCTTCACAAGCTGGAACCTGATCCTCCAAAAAATTGGGTTGGCCAGGAACCTGAAAGCTGTCAGAGAAGGTTATACTATCTGTCTGTTAGGTTCCCCTCTTCTTGTGATTTCCAGTCCCAAGTCCCTTGCCTCCAGAATACCACTTTCGTCTTATGATGAGCACACCATCGTCTATATGATGAGCAAAAGGAGAAAAAGTACGAATGAACATGTGTCCTGCATTATTAATGAGGACCCTTAGCATCAGAAGAGCTAAGATCCTGTCTTATGACTAAGTAAAGTAGTAAATGTCACAGACCTTCTTCAATCTTAGACGATCTCCAGAGCTTCCTTCCAACCTCAACTATTCTGTGACTCCAGGCATCAGTGCTGGTGGAAATGCCCGCACAATTAAAAGCACGTGGAGTGTTGTAACCTGCAAATAATAAATGGCTTTGGCTGGGCAGCACTCATGTCATAAGCTGGAGTGGGATGAGTGAGGGGGTACCACTGACATCCCAGAGGAGCTCAGTGTTTTCTCTGCAACTTGGCATCCCCAAGCCTGAGAAGTCCTCAGGTGGCCAAGCAGACCATATTATATTTATCTTTTTGAGTAAAAGAGGCATTTTAACCTGTTATTTAAATGAGAAGTTAATCAGAGACAAGCTTAAACCAGACTTCATAATCTCTCTGGATTCAGTAGGAGATAAGGTACTAAGAAACCTCTAAGAACCTGTCCTTAAGCATCTCATAGGGAGTAACAGGCTATGTTTTTGGATGGTTTTCTGAAGGCAAAGCTGGCACCTGAACCAGTGAACCAGCATTCACCTCTTCTTTATCAACAGCAGCTAGAGACATCCCACTGGCCCTTGGAAGACACATTACGATGTGCCCGCAGCAGGCCCTAGTGTTTAACAGCAGTCCCTTCAGTGTCCTAGAATTGATGCGCTGGCATCTCCAAGTGTCTAAAGGCAAGTTACGTGTGACCTGTCACTGCTGAGATAAATGGAAGTGATGTCTCCATCAGACGGCAGGACAGTGACCCAAACCATTTGCTTCTTTCAGCAATGGGTCGTACCTTATTTACTAGGGTGCTGGGAGAGCAAATCAGTTGAGGCTTGAGCTGCTGAGGATGGATTTAGTGGAAACACTTTCCTTGGTCTGCCTGGTACAGCATTCAACCCTTGATGCTTGTCAAACCTCAGGAGGTGCTTCAGTGTTGTTATTATATTATTAATTATTATAGTTGGGCTTAGCTCCTAAAAGTGCTTAGTACCTGCCTTTCTACCTTGCGTGATTTGCCTGATGGAGCTGTGCAGTGGGAAATGCAACCTCATTTGAGTTATACCACCTTTCTCCCAGGCATTACGGAGATTTATGATGTGAAGGTGTGTACCAGTCCTCTCTTAGATGTAGTGCACCTGAGGTTACCACTGCTGGAGGGCCTCTTTGGAGCATGTGGGACCTTGCATGATGGGGTATATGCCAGTGAAGTAGGAATGGTCCTGCCCAGCCAGATTGTGAAGGAGGTGGTTGGATTAAGGTGCACAATCGACTCATGTCCTATCCCAGAGCTGCTCTTCAAGGGCAGCATTATCTTGCTTAGCTGGGGAGGGGGTCTTCCGGCCAAGAAGAAAAGGTAACACCATGCCTTTCTCATTTTGTAAGGTTGAAATCAGCCTTCAAAGCAGTTTCCAACCAGGAATGAAATTAGAAGTGGCCAACAAGAGCAATCCGGACACATATTGGGTGGCTACGATCATTACAACATGTGGACAGCTCTTACTGCTTCGTTACTGTGGCTATGGAGATGACCGCAGGGCGGATTTCTGGTGTGATGTGATGACAGCAGATCTTCACCCCGTTGGCTGGTGTACACAGAATAACAAGGTCCTGATGCCTCCAGATGGTGAGTTCTCTGTGTTTTGTTAGGGTCATGCTCTAATATTGGGCTGGTGGTTAATCTCCAGACTTCAGTTGATCTGGAATGGGCACTCCAGATCCTCAACTGGTGTTGGGTGATGCAGTCAGGGTCAGGTCCCCACAGGTCGGTGGGTGGTTCAGTTTGCCAGTTGGCTCTAGCAAAGGCGTTTTTGCCCTGGTTGGCAACAACAGAAGGCGCTTCTGTAGGAAACCGTTCTAAAAAGGAAACTTACTGCTAAATTGTAAAGCTGTGATTTTCAGCTAAGGGAGGAAATTGTCCTGTTCTTGTAGGAAGGAAGGATGAAATTCAGAGTGAGAATAAACTAAAATAAGCAAGATCGGTTTGGATGTAACCAAAAGCAGAAGTTGGCTGTGCGCTCAAGTGTTTTGCCCTGAAAGTTTAAAACCTTCCATTGCCTGATTCTTGCAGCTTTTAATGCCAGTGGTAGATACACACGACTAAAGGTAGCAAAATTTCATCATCATAGGTTAGGACATGTCCTGATTATCAGTTCTTAGGTGAACACAGGCTGAATGCAAGAGCTCTAAATTACTGAATGGCCCATGTGGAACAGTTTGTTAATAATACAATTTGATCCCCCGCTGTGTAAGAAGAAATGGTATTTTTTTGGCTGTGTACAGCAATGGAACAGCCGTCTATCCTGACCACTATGTAGCTCCACGCAGAAGCATACTTGTCACTGTTATACGTATTCCTGCCATATATCCCATTTATTCTGGATCGAGGGAAGAAGAGATGAATATTTAGCCTCCAGCTTGTGCATGTGTTTAAGAAAATTCTCATTTAAGGATTCTGCTGCTGAAGTTATTATTTTACTTTCTGTTGCATGTGACCATTGAAAAAAGTATATATGCCATTTGTGCGCCTTGTGTGGTTTTCCTGGCGTAGGTGTTGCCTGACCTCCCGCTGAAGTGAGCTGTAGACACGGTCTTTGAATCAGAGCTCACGTTCTTGCCTTGTGTATGCCGAACTCTGAGCTAAACTTATCTTTTTGTTCTGGTCTGTGTCTTTTGAATAAACAGAGGATTGATTGCCTAAAAAAAAAAGGAAGAATTCTTGAAGACAAATATGGTTGAAAAATCTGTTGGCTTAGCACTAGTAAATCAAGCTGATGTGAGAGGGGTTAGGTATTTTATTTTATTGGTCTCTTAAACTACCTTTTATTATGTGGATTATAATCAATGTTACCAGAAGGGTGTGCAGTGTTGTAAACTAAATCTCAAAATGCCAGGGTCAAGGGGTAAGAGATCTTATTGACTGTCTTAATAGAAAATAATGATTGTTTTATAACCGGAGGCAACCGCTTTTCATGGAAATGTTGGAATCTGCTCTTTGGGTTGTGGCTGCTTCTTGTGAATTGTTTCGCTTGAATGACTGCAAATGTGCAGTGCGTCATACCTCCTTTCTCCTCTGGCTGGGTGATGAACGGTATGCCAGGCTCTTAAATTTGGGCAACTGCCCTGTTTTGGTTTGGTTTTTTTCCACTCCCATTCTCAGTGAATAAACTCTATTCAATGCATCTTAGTATAGTTTCCAGAAAGAATAAATTAAATGCGTAGATTGTAATTTCCGAAGAGATTTAAGCATTTAAGAGCTTGAGTCATATTTTGGAATGAGGCATCTAAAATGCCCAGGAGGATTTTGAGCCTTCAGGACATCTCTCACTTGGAAAAGAGAGAGGTCCTAAATGTGCTCATAAATCGCAGCGCTCCTCTAGGTGTTTGCCCGTAGGGTTCAGCCTGGAGTCAAAGGTGGCTTTCGTAGCTCCTGTTGGGACACCACAAGGAAGAGGCTGGATCTGCAAGAGTGCTGTAGGGAGAACTGAGCTCTGACCAGCTTTTCAAGGTAGCTTGTGAGTGCTAGGCTTACTGTAGGTGGGTGTCTGGAGTTTGACCTGTGCTGAATTGCTTGGCTGATCTGTGAATGTATCTTAACGAGCCAAACTTCATTGAAGTGCTGGGAGTTTTATCTGGTAGAGCCTGCAGGATCAAGACTTCTCATTGGTTACAGAGAAAGTGATGTTCCCTATGACCTCCGTGGAGGTTTTTTACCTTTTTAGCATTGCACGCTATTTTGTTGTCAAACGTTTGGCAGAAACAAAAGCCAGCTTCAAATTGCACGGACCCATTTTCGAAGGGCCTGATGCTGCACATCTTGATTGCAATTAAGATATCTCTTGGCAAGACCATGCAAACAGCATGGCCAGGGTCAGTTATCTGTCATTAGGGTTTGATTTTAATCAGGAGCTGAAGGCTTTGGTTAAAAAGCAGATCTGCCAAGAAGGACTTGTTTAACGGGCAAAATCCCAGCACTGGGACAATGCTCTGTTTCTGCTTACGAATCAGATCGGATTGATCGGCGCTGGTCTTATAAACGTGATGTCAGACAAGAATGGTACAGAGTGATAGGACGAAGAATTTCATTAGGTGGGAAAGAGATGTGAAAAAACGGGCCGGTTCAGTTTAGCAAATCAATAGAGCTTGATTTAATGTTCAGCACATACAGAGCTTTTAAGGGGCAGCTGCCAAATAATTATTGTTTACGATCTCAATAGAAGGAAGTCATTTAATTTACAGACCGTTACACGATTATTTATTGGGTGACGTTAGTATTGCATCATGGGGCCTGCGAGTATAATGTCAAGTCATGTTACGTCCTCCCATGACATTATGGTGCGGTGCACTAGAATAGGACTGCTCAAGCCAAATACTTGAGTTTGCAATAAAATGTATTTGCTTATGAAAGGGCGGCGTGGGTGCGTGTGTGCCTGCGAGCTTCACCCTCCTCCCCCTCCTTCCCCGCAGGAAATCAAAGGAGTAAAATTGTAGTTACTTCAAGCTCTGCCATTAATTATATTTTTCTCATTACAAATCGGTGTGTAATTTGAATTGCAAACTCAACTATCCTGGCAGAATAGATCTGTTTACCATTCAAAGCAAAATGAAAATTATTTAAATTAGTTAATATAGAACTCATTTGAATGAATTGGATGTTTATTCATGAACGAGCTGAGGCAAGTGTGAAGCTGTCCTTATGGTCTGTAGCTTTGGCACTGATCAGCTCTAAAGTCACGTCCTGGGACAGAGATTTCTTTTTTAGTGCATATTAACTGTGGTGTTGAGCAGTGAGTAGCTACTGCCTGATGTAGCTGAGTATGAAATTTTCCTCCTCTCTGACAAGGCCCCTCAGCAATTGTAATTCAGATGAGGAAGGACAACCTGCTTCCAAGTTCATTGACAGTGGCAGGGCTGTGGTGGTATCGTAGGATTTGTTTTCTGCACTATAGGGGTGGGATGTGACATAGACTTTCCATCAGTCGTTTAAAATTTCCCCTTTAAATTAGCCTGCATGGAAACAGGGACAGCCTTTATCCTCTCCTATGTCTTACCCCAGCACTGTCCTCCTCCTCAGCACAGAGCCGATGCGGTTGTTTTTCAACATCCTCCATCCCTTGGGATGTTTTACCCATTGAGCATTAAAAATTCAAGTCTAACCAAACTTTCCCTTAGTAGCAATTCCTTTAACTGTGAAAGGAAAAGAGGTCTCTTGCCTCCTTTAGCCTGTTATTTCCATGTGCTGTTTTCCTTTGTTGATGACAGTTGGGTTCATGAACACATTTGCCATCGGGTAGAAGAGCAGCGTGGAGAACCTGACAAGCGTAGTAGCTAAATTATGCATTGTGAACCACGCAGAGAGCAGGAACGTCTTTTGATTGACACTTGGGTGTTTTTGTACAGATTGCAGATTTACAGCTGAGCCAACAGAGCCGAATCTCTCCTGGCACTATCTTAATGTATTCTGGGATGCGCTAAAGACACTGGACGACAAGATTATTGTGTACACTTGTAATTGCCGCGGTGGTTCTGCTTTAATGTTATTGACAGATGGAAATTCAAATAGGGCATTTCTGTGTGCAGATCCGCGCAGTGAGCTTGAGTCTGCTTGCCGTGTAAACCACAAGACGGAGGAGACTGGAGATGTAAAGAAATGCAGCGGGGGGAGAACCAGGTCTATATTTTGATTTTACAATGGACTGGTACAGATGGGAAAACCTCTGGACACCATCTATACCTGGATTTGATGATCAAGATGATCAATCGTACTGCGATTATGTGTAGGAAAGCAGCCTTTACTTCTCTGTTACACCAATATAAGGAGGAATAAAGCTGAAAAGCCTGATCTGGGGTAAAGTGAGTACCTCCTGAATGGTGCTGAGTTTCATCCAGTGAAATATGCCATTAAGAGTGGTGGACGTAAAGCATTTTGTCTGCCCAGACTTTCTGTGAAGGTGAACATCATCATTTGGTCACTATTTGAAATAGGTTTTTGTGTTTCACTCAGGTCAGGTTAACTTTTATCCTGGATCCAGGCCAAAGGAGGGGAATTTCACTCAGATTCAAAGTGGTGGATCTGACTCTGGGCAGGGTATGGATGAAAAAGGAGATAAAACTTGAGCCACAGCAAACTGGGTTGCCTTCAGATGACAAATTTTTTTTTTTTTTTTTTTAATACCATTATCTGAATCTATCACAGAGCCAAATCCTGCTGTTTTGAGATCACTGGTGTAAGGGAGGGGAGGAGTGGATCTGGTTGGCCATGTCAAAACTTACGGCATGAGGACTCATGGGACTGTGCATAGTCAAAAGGTGGTCGGCTGTGTTGCAAGATGTCAGATAGATAAATAGATAGGTGGAAGAAATAAGTTAAATTTGAGCCAATTTTTTCATTTTGTTAGTGCTCAGGTGAAATCATCGATGGAGGTAGTGGTTAGAACAGACACTGGGGCTGGACTATAGCAGAAAGTAGTGGGATTGAGAGAAAATGGGGCGCAGGGGATGGGAACAGGAGCAGTAAGGGGAAATGGTGAGACAGGAGCAAAGAGAAGAGCAAGCCTTGAGCAGTCACTTTCTGCTCCGGGTGTGGATTTGGTGTCATTTAAGATTCCCTAGGTGCATAGGAGGCTT